TCCTTTCAATCACTTCCCTTAAACTGTAAAAAAAAAAAAAAAAAAAAAAAATTTGGTTTGGAGAGCGCTTTTTTAGATGACTCTGCACATTATTGTGTTCCTGAAAGACAAATGTTGGCGCAGAAGACGTGACATGAAAATTAGACATGTAACACAATTTCCTCCTATATGGAAGAGGTCTTATTTACCTTTGTTTTCCTTACCACTGACATGCTGGTATTTCTTTATGAAGTTGTCACAATGGTGCCATATAAGTCCCCATGTGTCACAAATAAGTAGTAGATTTGACCAGGCATGTGTCATTACTAACAGTGAAAATGTCACATGGTTTCCATGCCGGCAGAAATGTGTCGCAAATGCCTTGTTTAATCACCCCTCAGCGTTGTTCTGCCCAGCAGAGCTAGAGCAGCAGTAGAGAAAAGCCTTCTGGAATCCCCCCCTCAGCATTGTTCTGCCCAGAAGAGGTATTCTGGTAAATGCCTTGTTGAATCACCCCCTCAGCATTGCTCTGCCCAGAAGAGGTATTCTGGCAAATGCCTTGTTGAATCACCCCCTTCTGCCCAGAAGAGGTCCTCCGGCAAATGCCTTGTTGAATCACCCCCTCAGTGTTGTTCTGCCCAGAAGAGGTATTCCGGCAAATGCCTTGTTTAATCACCCCCTTAGTGTTTGTTCTGCCCAGAAGAGGTATTCCGCCAAAATGCAAATGCCTTGTTGAATCACCCCCTCGGTGTTGTTCTGCCCAGAAAAGGTATTCCGGCAAATGCCTTGTTTAATCACCCCCTCAGTGTTGTTCTGCCCAGAAGAGGTCCTCAGGCAAATGCCTTGTTTAATCACCCCCTCGGTGTTGTTCTGCCCAGAAGAGGTCTTCCGGCAAATGCCTTGTTTAATCACCCCCTCAGTGTTGTTCTGCCCAGAAGAGGTCCTCCGGCAAATGCCTTGTTGAATCACCAAATCAGTGTTGTTCTGCCATCAAGGAGGAAGTTGGGCACTGCGCTGGAGAGTGTTCAGCTAGCCATACACACAACAATAACCTATGTGCTGAATGACAGAAATGAGGCCCCTTTTGCAGGGCACGTTTATTACATATCAGCACAGGGCAGCCTATTAATTTCAATAGGCTGCTCTAAGCGCGGCAAAGAAGCTCATCAGTCATTTGAGCTGCATGTTGACGCACATCTTTCTTGCTGAATTTGGGTTGCCATTAGCAAATAGTGGTACTGCAAGCACAACATGTACTTTTCACATGTTACATGAACGTGCACAGCAAATGATTCCTACACCCATGCTAAACAGTATGGATGGAGGACTAGTGATCTGCTGACTATTGTAGTCAGCCACTAGGCACCCGCCGCTGACTGTATACCTGAGCACTGAATTGGATGCAGCCGCTGTTCAGCTGTCAACAGGGCCATCCCTATGGTAATCGCTGCCTTGACGTCTGGGCCCAGGGGGGTGCCGAAAGGGAATGGTCAAGTGTCGTCCGGGTGGGCGAGCGGTGGCAGACCGCACTGTCAGTGGTGCTGCCTCGCATCCTGCCAAGCTCACCGACGCTGTGGCCGCCCCCCCCAACCCAATGAGATGCAACCGCCTCAGCCTGGCTGGCTCATTTTAGCAACGGCCCTGGCTGACAATTTTCCGTCTGACTCTTTTGATTTTGAAAACAAAGTTTGTCAAGCGGGCTAGTGCAGACAAGTCCACCCACACCTAAAATATCCAGGCAAGTAATTTCAGGGAGGTGCCCTCTGGGGATATGGAGGAGAGAGACATCATATGAATGAATAGCTAGATTGCTATTGGCTTTTTTCAATTTGCCATAGCCAATAGCAAGCTGACTATTGCACCCGCCCACTGCTGCTGTCAGTCAGTAGATGACCTGACAAGAGAACTTCAGGGCCACCTCCGCTGACTGACGTTCCGATGATGTTTGTTTTTTTCTCTGAGCGATGGCGGCCTTCGGCCTCAATGTCAAAGAACAAAACAAATACAAATAGATAGCAGGTAAAAGTTTACTCTGCTACGTATAGCAGAGTAAACCTTTCCGGGAAAAAAATGTTTCTCTCCCGGGTGTTCGGGAGCCGTTATCTAAGGCCCCATTCACACTGAGCGACATGAAAATCGCACGATTTTGAGCGATATTGAGCGACTTTTTCCTATTTGGCTGTATGCAATCAGGAGCAAAATCGCTTGAAATCAGTCGAAAAAAGAGTCATGTAGGAGCGACAAGCTACCAGCAACGAGCAACAAGCGATATTGAGCGGCGAGATGTGAACAGCTCCATTGAAATGGATTGGAGAAGCTACATAGAGCGATATCGCGTGGAAATATGAGCGATATCGCTGCAAAAATCGCTCAGTGTGAATGGGGCCTCATAGTGGGAGACTTCCAGGAGAATTGAGATATCTGCCCAAGATTCGAGCCATGTATGTAAACATTGTCAATAGAAACGAGGCTGGGCTTGGTGTGAACCCAGTTCACCTGAGTTTGCGTAAACCCGCTACGAACTGTGACCGCCTATCACTGGCGGCGGGGGGCATACCCCACCCCTTTGTGGCATATAGATGTGGAGTAGGAATCCACCTCCATGTAGATGTGGAGTAGGAATCCACCTCCATGCAACTGATTGAGACTGTAGGAGGGTGTGACCGTCAGAGTTTTGAGTGGGCTTGAGCGAACTGGGTTCACACCAAGCCCATCCTCATCTGTGATCGTCATTTTTTTTTCTTTTTCTAATATGGGTGGATAACCTAGAGGGGGAAAAAAACACATTTTCACTCGTGTTCTACTTGAAGCGTCACGTACGGAGCACACAGTGAGCGCGCACTGCTAGAAGCCAGGGAGCGCGCATTTTGGGGGAAGCTCGTCCGCGTTTATATACAGCTGCCGGGAGATGTCCCCGAGCTCCGGTCTGCTGTCATTGTCCGGGAGAACCTCCGTGTACCGGGAGGAAAGGGCTCACCTCCCCATGTCACTATAGAGAAGCACTGACTACAAACCTGCTCCTGAAACTCGCTGCACACACAGACGAGACACCCCGATCACCCAGACATCGCGATATGACAATGGAAATGCCACGCAGGCGACAATGTCGTCACGACATGCGCGATAGGCGACTTGTGCTTACACCAGCGTGATCAGACACAATTCTAACGAGAGGCAATAAACATGAGAATGGAGCTGTCTGACCTGGCAAGGTGAAGGAGCGGCAGAGCAGCTGCTGGAGGAGCACTTTCACTGCGATATAGTAGTTCCTCAGTACGGGGAGCAGGGAGACGCACATGGCTGCCATGTCAGGGAGGGACGAATCATGGCGGGTCACACCCACCACTTCACTACAGAGTGTGCGCCATGACGCCGCTGTCCTGACAGGGAGAATATTGCAATGGTGACCCTTGTCCTTCCCTCCATTATGGAGTATATATCTGGTCCTTGGGAATGCATAGATATCATACTCTTAAAGGGTTAGTTCACCTTTCCAGTAACAGTTCCTATTCAGACAAGAGGCGCTGAAGCAGGAAAATCCAGGATTTTCAAGTTAACCCTTGCAGGGGGTTGCCCCAGCACTGAAAGAGTTAACTGCTGGTTTTATTTTAGGGAACAGAATAAAGAAGGTATGCTCTTCGGATCCTGCAGTGGTTACCACTCACCGGATATGGTATGTCCCTTGGCATCATCACATCTAATGCAAGCGAATTGTGTAGACGTGATGATGTCAGCAGTAGAGCTGCAGCTAACGATTATTTTCAAAATCGATTATGTCGATTAGTTGTTGCAGCCCTAGTCAGCAGGGCTTACACCACTGGAGTCCGGGGGAAAGGAGGCTGCGGGGACCGGTAGAGCAGCCGGCAGAATTGAGGATTGGATAATATTTTCTTTCTTTGTGCTATTTTCTACAAAAAATGTGCAGTTAACCCTTACAATGTGGGGCTTGAAAAACCTGGAGTTCCTCTGACCTGCCTAGATGTCAGGACACACCGCATGTTGAGTGCTCTACCCTTGTACGACAGGGACGAGCATTCTCCTTTGTTCACACCCCGTTCATACACAGTGCGCTCTCCCTCATATAATATCAGTACATACACAGTGCGCTCTCCCTCATATAATATCAGTACATACACAGTGCGCTCTCCCTCATATAATATCAGTACATACACAGTGTGCTCTCCCTCATATAATATCAGTACATACACAGTGCTCTCTCTCCCTCATAATATCTGTACATACAGTGCTCTCTCCCTCATATAATATCTGTACATACACAGTGCTCTCTCCCTCATATAATATCAGTACATACACAGTGCGCTCTCCCTCATATAATATCAGTACATACACAGTGCGCTCTCCCTCATATAATATCAGTACATACACAGTGTGCTCTCCCTCATATAATATCAGTACATACACAGTGCTCTCTCTCCCTCATAATATCTGTACATACAGTGCTCTCTCCCTCATATAATATCTGTACATACACAGTGCGCTCTCCCTCATATAATATCTGTACATACACAGTGCACTCTCCTTCCCTTGTGGCAGACACGTTGTGACCAGTACTGATGGGCACAGGCGTGTTCGCAGCTCCACATGCCGAGCCCGCCAGGAAGCTGACAGCGGCAATCACAGGAACTGAGACATGTTCCCGGTCCGCATCTGCATAGATCGGGAAATGTCTCAGTGCCTGTGATTGGCGCTGCCAGCTTCCTGGCGGGCTCGGCACGTGGAGCTGCGAACATGCCCGAGCCCATCACTAGTGCCCAGACAGAAGTTGTGCTTGCACATGTTTTGTACAAGGGAGAATACATTGAGTATGTACGGCTAACAAGTATGCAATTTAATAGAAGCTCCATTCTTCTAAGCCGCATGGTGTTGTTAGTCTTATGGGGTCCCGTGACTGCATAGCAACTTTTATTTGAAATGTGAACTAATCCTTCAAACTTAGGAATTACAAAAATTCTACACTTGCAGTGCGCCTGTTCTGTAATATTTGCTGATCGCGTTACGTTTGCCGACCTACTCAATGCGCTCGGCAAATGTGACAGAACACCGGCTGCAGCAACAAATGGGAGCAGAGAGGGGGGAGCACGCACGTGTAGTTAGCTGGTCATTGTGAATGACTACACATTGTACTGTCCTTTCCTCCATAGTGGAGGGAGCACACACGTCAGGTTAGCTGGTCACTGTGAATGGCTGCACATCATACTGTTCTCATAGGACATCACTGTTGTGTGTTTACTATTATTTATGCTGGGGCTAGCTTATCTAGCTTATGTGGTGGATGGCAATTTACAAAGCATGCATTCTTTGCAGTTTGTTGTCATCTACACCACCTGTATCTTCTATCTTCGCTGAGGCAGAGCCATGGCAGCCAAGAAATCTTTTGCAATAGAAGATTTATTGAAGGCCAAAATTCAGCAAATGAGCAATGCTGGAGGCTCAGGCAGAGGAGAAGTGTAATATATCGTCTACTACAGGGACCATTTTTCAGGTTTTTTTTTTTTTTTTGCACCACTGTGGTGTTTGCTGGCTGCATTTACACATACATGTGTGATTTACTAAACTTGTTGTGTACTCTTTTCTTTTCGGGTGTGCTCTCATTCTAAGAGCTCCTAATGCATATTCATACATCAAACAAGCACATGACCCTCATACCTTTGTAAAGCATATACTAGTTCATATCTGGGTTGTGTTGGGGAAAATAAGTGTTTTATGGCATATGAATTTGATGACCCGGAGGAAATGTAATGTGTCGTTTACCATAACACGCAATGTCACTGTCGCACAAGTATGAATGTAAATGTACTTGATGCAGGGCCGGCCTTAGGGGTGTGCGAGCTGTCTCTCCTCCTCACCGCTGCCCATCCGACATGACATCGCTCCCTCGTCCGCCCCCATTCTAAGAGCTCCTAATATAAATATCTTTATATTTAAATTCGGTCGCACGCAATCTGTAAACTGGGCATGTTGGGTATCGTTTTACTCGTTGTAACCTCATCTTTTATATTTCATTAAAAAAATGGGTAATTTGTTGTGTTTTGGGGCATTTAATTAAATTTGTCACTAAATTTGGGGGTTTAATAAGGAGTTGCGCTAATATTGCGCAACATAAAAATTTTCAACTACCACCATTTTATTCTATAGGGTCTTGGCATTCAGAAAATATATAATGTTGGGGGGTTTTACGTCATTTTCAGGCCTAAAATGTGGAATATAACATGGGTGCAAAAAATGAAAAAAGGGTCTCAGTCATGAAGGGGTTAAATAACAAATGGGCAGAGCCGGGCCGTGACGTCACGGCCGACTCCACCCAATTGTTATTGTTTAATGACAGATCAGTGTCCCCAGGTCATTTGCGGACGCTGATCTGTCAGTACAACTGGGCGGAGCCAGCCGTGAGATCATGGCTGGCTCCGCATAGCTGTCATTTGCGGGACTTATGGCCGACCCTTCGGCTGTCACTTCGGCTCAGTCGGGCCATATTGTGAATAGCCCTTACAGCAGCCCTTCGAAGCTACGGCTGGATCCTTTGGCCTCTTCGTGAATAACCCCCATAGATGTGGTCAGTTAGTCGAGTTGGCTATAATGGTGTGGATCTAATCTTGTATTTTGAGTGCAGTTTTACATACACTTTAATTTTAAAATGTTGCATTATGTTAGTATAATTTTTTTTAAATGTCTATATCCTATTGTGAAGACTGCCTATGTTTCCTGTCCTGGAATCACAACAGCAAGTGAAATTTCTAACAAGTTAGGTAAATCCCCTCTAAGGCCTCATTTGCATGGATGTAATTGCAAACGGTGTGATTACCATTTGTTAGATGTGTATATGTCCCTAACTGCAGGTAATTGGTCCATGTATGGTTGCATCCAAACACCAGCGTATAGTTGCAGCCACTGTCAGCCTGGTGTTGCTTTGTACAGGTTTAGCGGCCGCAATTATCCACATCCAACTGTGAATCCAACCGCAGGAAATCTGCTTGATTCTGACCACAGCTGACACATTTTTCAATGTAGTACCCAAAATGTTTGCTCTTGGTCTCTTAATCACAGGGTGGGACTGTATCCAAATCCTCCTTCGGTTTTCAATCTTGGCTTAACCCACTGCAATTGTTTCCTCGTTCGGCTCAGTTACCAGTAACAGAATCAAAGAAGCTCCATAGTGCATACTGTTGCCAGCTAAAAACTGTTCTGAAATAAAAACATACTCACAAGAGAAGCGAACATCCAGTAAAATGATAATAAGAAACACAGGAGTAACAAACAACACTGAATTCAACTGAATTCATAGTTTATACTTTACAACTGAAGCGTGCAACTTGAATAAAGCTTTAGACCCTTGGTTCTCAACTGGTGGGTCGCGACCCCGCATTCAGTGGGTCACCGCATGCCTCCCACTTTTCTAGGTGAGAGGCTCCTCAACCTTCCCCTAGCGCAGCACTGGCAAAGTGGGAACAATTTATTTGGGCCCACTAACATGGGATTGTGGCGGTCCCTGTGTTTTTTTCCCGTTTTTCTCCCTGATTTTTTATTTCTTTAACCACTTGCCGTCCGCCCGTAGTAAAAAAACGGACGGACGGCACTGCAGCATTGGCGGGTTGCCGTCTCCAGAGGGCAATTTTTTTCTGCTCGCGCGTGCCCCCTAGCGGGCACGCACGGGCAGAAAAGACCCGACCATTACACACACCCGTTACCAGGTGTTTCACATATAGGCGACTAGCGGGTCCATAGCCCGCCGATCGCTTATATGTGCTCGTTCGCGGCATCTGCTCGTTTTTTTCCACCCCATGACCATACTGAAAAATGGCCTGGATGGGAAGCGGGTTTAACACCGCGGATGTCAACTGGTTAATGTTAGGTACTGCCCCTTTAAGAAATTTACCTGACAGGTTTCGGCGGGAAAACTCCTGGCTCGTGTCCTTCTGTAATGTTCTTCACCGTTCCCAGGAGCCTATATAAAGGAATTCCCAAGGGAGAGCTGTCACTCGGCTGGACTCTTTCAGGCCCCGTTCACATTGAGCGAATTGTTGCGCGATTTCCGCCGCGATATCGCGCATTTTTGCCGCGCGATATCGCGAGAAGTCTCCGGCCAATGTTATTCAATGGAGCTGTCTTAACTCCATGTACATATAGGCGATCGGCGGGCTATGGACCCGCCGATCGCCTATATGTGAAACACCCGGTAACGGGTGTGTGCATTTAGCAGGTCTTTTCTGCCCGTGCGTGCCCGCTAGGGGGCGCGCGCAAGCAGAAAAAAATTGCCGTCTGGAGACGGCAACCCGCAGATGCTGCAGTGCCGTCCGTCCGTTTTTTTACTACGGGCGGACGGCAAGAGGTTAAGCTATATTTGTCCCATGCTCCTTTATGTGGTTTGTCACTCTATGAGGGG